CCATAGAGAGGACCAACAACTCAAAGAAGTTTCTTTAAAGAGACTGAAGAAAATGAATAAACTGTGTAGAAGCATTAGGAAACAAACCAAAACAAAAACAAAAAACAAATAGAATTATACTAAATATGAAACATTTAATACAAAAGGAACATTTATATACAAAAAGGAATTAAAAAGATCATATATGTTTGCTATGAACACTCATACAACAGTAAATGAGAAACTGTAGATTAAATGGAAAAGTGTCTAAGAAGATATTACTGATCTGAGGGTCCCAAGACCCCCCTCGGCGTTGACGGTTTGCTAGAAGGACTTGCAGGATTCAGCATACAGCCATACTCCTGGCTAGAATTTATTTTAGCAAAATCAGCAGAAGGTGAAGTCAGGAGGCAGCCAGACACAAACTTCCAGAGTCTTCTCCCAGTGGAGCCACACAGGAAGTGGTTCATTCCTCTAGAGTGGAGATGTGACAACACGGGTGAATTGCTGCCCATCAGAGGAGCTTAGGAGAGACCCGACGCCCAAGGTTTGCAATTGCTGCTCGTCACATTGGCACTCTACCTGGCACAAACCAAAATTCCAGACTCCCTGAAGGAGGGCAGGCGTGCAACTGAACCCCACCGTTTCTACAAACAGCTTGGGTACAATCAGCCACTCTGAACAGTTTGTAGAATGAGGGAAATCCTCCCCAAATCCTTGTTTCTGATGACAACCAATGATCAATCTTCCAAGCAAGCTTTTCTTTGCTAGGATAGCAATCTCAGGCCTGCTACAGTAACTTTTCCACACAATTATGTACCGAAACTAACTCAAAAAGAAACAGAAAGCCTGAATGGTTATGTAACCATTAAAAACAAAACAAAGCAAAACTAGATAAGTGGTTCCAAGTATTTCCATAAGTAAAATAATTCCAGGCAGAGATAGTTTTTAGTTCTACCAAACTTTCAAAGAATAGATCATTACAATAGATCAGTAAAATATCATGCAAACTCCTCCGAAAATTTAAGTTAACAGGTTGCACTCCCTGAATCAGCTCATATGAGGTAATAAACTTGATACTAGGCAGGAACAGAATGAGAAAAAAAAATTCAGGTCAGTCTCATTCTTGAATAAAGTTGTAAACATTCAATACAAAACTTATCAAAATAACTCCCAGAATCTATTACAAAAAAAAAAGAAAGAAAGAAAAAAAAAAAGAACTGATTTTTTTTTACTTGGAATGCAAATTTATAACCAGAAATATCTAGAAATGACATTTATAGATGAACTGATTAAAAGGAGAAAAAACATGGTTATTTCAACAGATTGAAAAATAGTATTTGGTACCTATTCATGACTTTGCTAAGATATATAATCCTAGTCCAGGAATTGATTAGAATCTACTTATCTGATAAAATCTATCAAGTATTTATTGAAAACAACATTCTTGATGATATAACATCAGAAATATTTCAAATCAGAAATTAGATATACATACTTACCATTACCATTAATATTCATTGTTACTGGAGCTATACACAATGCTGTAACATCACAAACAAAAATTAGAGAAATATAATGTATGTGAATATTGGTAAGCAAGAAATATAACTCATTTACATGCAATGTTTTTCTATGGGTTAAGCATAAATAATCTGTAGATGAAGTATTAGAACTGATGACCAAGTTTGCTAGATATATAAGATTAATTCAGAAAAGTCCATCATATTTATATATACCAGTAATTATGGTTTATAAAACATAACTCTTCATAATATACAATTTTAAAAGATTTATTTATTTATTTGAGAGAGAGAGAGCCCACGAGTGGAAGAGCAGAGGCAGAGGAAGAGAGAGGCAGACAGTACAATATAGTAATCATTTTATGACATTCCCATCAAAGATACATAACTGGAACTTAATCTATAGGAAATATCCAATTTAACTTGAGAAAAGGTTCACAAAATAACAGGCCTGCAATCTTCAAAACTGTCCCCATGAAAGTCAAGGAAAGGTCATGGAAATATTCTAGACCAAAGGAGCCTAAAGAGCCATGACAACCAAAGGTAATGTAAGATTCTGAACTGATTCCTTTCACTATGAAGGACATTACTGGAACAATCTGTAAAGATTGAATGGAGATTGAGGATTCGAAGGTAGTAAAGCATCAACATTAATTTCATGAGGTTCATGGTTGCATTGCAGTTAAGCAGGAGAGTGTTCTTGTTTATAGGAAATGCACACTAATGGGGGATCTGGTTGGTAACATTCTCAAATGATTCAGAAGAAAGTTCCTTGTGCTGTACCTGAAATTTTTCCATAAATCCTTAAAAAAATTTAAGAAAGAAAGAAAAGAAGAAAGGTAATGATAAACATAATACTCAGGTTACTGGTTTCCTGTGGTGATGAAAGAAGGGGATGGGATAAGAAGGAGCCTCCAAGTAGCTGCAGTGATAGATCTCATGATCCTCTGTTCTGAAGTTGGGAAGTGACCTCATGGGTGTTCATTTTACTACATGCCATAATTTACAAATATGTAGCATTTAATATTTGTGTTTATACAATATTATAATGATTTTAAGATCTTATGTTTTAAAGGCCATCGGATCTGGAGCATAGCAGATCTGACTTTGAAATCTGCTGTGTCATTTACTACTACCCACACCAACTTGATCAAGATACTTAAGCTTGCTGAGCTTAGGCTTCCTTATCTGGAGAACAAGAATAATTAACCACAGAACTGCTGTAAAGATTCAGTGATAATATACACTATTAATGTCCTTTAGCAAAAGCCTACCGGAAATACACTTGTATGTAAACAGGCTTAATTACTCCATGAAATGAGGCAGAATGTACATTATAATGAGCCACGGGGTGCTCCCCGCAGGGGGTGTAAGAAAGAACTTACTAGAGAATTGGATCTTTGGTTGCAGCATTTGGTGGAAGATCTAAGGAAGTGGAGTTTGCCCTAGATTGGATGGTGTCACGAAGCTGGGGTGATACTATAACTGGTATCTTGACAAATCCTACCTACAGGGAGGAACACCAGTGTGAGAAAAAGCTGTAGATGGCAGAGTCCTTAACACCCTTTCAGTGAGTGAGAGCCATGTTTGGTGGTTCATGTCACACAGTGACCTCGTCAATACTCTGTGATCATCGATGTCCAAGTGGAGAGAAGCACCGTCTAGATGTGGGCCTCAGACTATCTTGTAACAACACTGAGGTCTAATTATGATCTTCAGATCAGTTGCCAATATTAGGGGCTGTTTTTGTTAGTTTTCAACCTAAACATTTGGCACAGTGTTTTAGCTCCCTTGATCAGGGGCGTTGAACTGGGTAGACCAGGCAAACATCAGCCGCTGCACCCCCTTCCAGAATCTCAGGTGGGTCTTTTCTTCTCTGGCTTTGCCACTAATCATACTAAAGTGATCACACTGTTGCAATGCAAAAGATAGATTGGTCAGACTTAAGTTCATCTACTTTAACATTGTCTTGCTCTATCAAATCCTTTTAAAATATTTCCTGTCCTGAGAAAACCCATCAAATCCTATAGTCGAGGATATCTGCGGGATGTCAAAGATACCCATTATTTGGATAATGGCCACATTAGATAAATATGGATGAAAATCTGGAATTGATTTAATATCAGTATGTATTTGCAACAGGACTTTTAGAACCAATTGTGTTAATGTTCCTATTCGAGTGGGGACTTTACCAAATTGGCTGAAGTATTTCAAATACATTTATAGTATTTACTTTTATGGTTCTGAGGTAATAAGCTATTTTGATGTGTATGTCCACATGCTCCAGAGCCTTCAAGCAGCCATGGCTCCTAAGTTTTCTGACTCCAGACCTCAGGATTTTTCCTGTATATCACCAAGATGTAGAAATGGGGCCAATAAATCATATCAAGCAATGTATATTCTTCTAGATATAAACAAAATTCTTTTTTTTAATTTTTTTTATAAAAAAAATTCTTGTATCTCCAGTTACATCTTCTATTTTGATCATGCTTATTGCTTCTCTTTTTTTTTTTCATGTCTTCATTAATCATTACAAAGAACACAGATTTGGGTTGTATTGATTAACCTCAAATTGTTTTCTACTTTCATTGCCTAATTTTTCCTCATTATCTTCTTCCTTCTACTTGCTGTATTCATTATTCTTTTATCAAGCTCTGTTTATTGACTTTCAGGGTCTTGACCTTGACCTCCAGCACTCAAGCCTACAGTAGTGACCTACAGTAATGAGGACACCCATTCTCACCACATCCCTTTTAAAACCACTCTAGGGCAGCCCGGGTGGCTCAGCAGTTTAGTGCCGCCTTCGGCTCAGGGCATGATCGTAGAGACCCAGGATCTTGTCCCATGTCGGGCTCCCTGCATGGAGCCTGCTTCTGTCTCTGCCTCTGCCTCTGCCTCTGCTGTGCTGTGCCTGTGCTGTGTGTGTGTGTGTGTGTGTGTGTGTGTGTGTGATGAATAAATAAATAAAATCTTTAAAACAAACAAACAACACTCTAGTCGGGCTCTGTGCCTGCCACTCCACGGAAGCTGCTCCTCAGCCCCCGTGACCTGCATTTTGTTAACTTCCACAGATAACCTGCCTCTTACCTTATGTATGGATAGGGATGGATCCATTGCCACCTGCATTCCCCTTGAAACACTTCAATGTTCTCCAGCGCATCCCTTTTCTCAATCTAACTGGCCATCTCCTCAAACTCACTTGTTACTTTGGATAAGTAACAAACCTCTCATCCCCCAAACCTCCTGACCAAAAATCTGGCAGATCTGGTCCCCAGAGCATGACAATCAACACTCTCTCAATATACAAGGAGAGTATGTAATAGCAGGTAATAATCATGTATATAACCATTATTTTCTTGATTCATTCATGTTTAAAATAACAAAAAGATTTCAATTTAAAATTTTTATTCAAATTCAGAAAAATAATTTTAGAAAAATATTTCATGTTTGAACGAAAATTTGTACTTTCCAAACAAAAATTTACAACTTGCAGTTCATAGTGTTTTAAAACTTAAATAAAAAGCTTATGTTGGCACATAGAAAGACAGCATCCAAGTACTTGCTATCTGCATTCTTTGTCCGTAATGCGGTGCTCCCACCAGGGTTACCATTCAGAGTCAGGGAGGTTCACCCCTCTCACGACCAGTGAATCTTAGACCAGTGTCATCTGCAAAATCTCCAAATACGATGCTGTTAGGATGACCACAGGAAGTTATAAAAATCCTAGTGCTCAGTTATCATTTAGTATCACTTACTTGGACATTTTCAAAGTAAAATGACTGTTGATTTTTGCCTTCAGTTCCTTCCCATGCATACTGGTATCCGTAAATCTCTTATTCAGAAAGTCCTCGTAGAAGGGAATAGAGGTAACTTCCAGGGTTAAGAGAGGGCAAAAAATAGGTGGTGGAGTAAGTAACACCTGGAACAGCTCTGAAGCAGAAAGAGAAATCCCATTTTCACATCTCTGCACAAATCTCCTGTAGGGTCCTTAGAGTCCAGCGTAATGAAGATTACATCTGGCCAGATGACTTTTCCTGCACTACTTTCCATACCTGTTACTACGTACTTGCCGCAAACTCAAGGATGTTAAGGAAGACATTTCTGCTAAATAATACTTTGTGTTTAGCTTAAAAAATACAAAGCCAGTTTCCAAAAGTATAAACTCACCCCAACTGAGAATTGTTACAACACAGACAAAACTTGATGCAGTATATCCTTGTCTCTAGTAAATTGCAAATAGAAGTAGCAGCTTTATTCATGCAACATGGCTTTTGGCCTGGCCAGGAGCTGAAGGTTTAGCGGGGGTGGGGAGTGGGAGGAGGTGATGCAGGAAGACAGGGGAACACCTGTCAGGTGGTGATGAGTACAACACGGGACACTGCGGCAGGGTAAAGAGACCGACAGGCAGCAGGGGAGTGGGGCTGCTTGTGTACTCAGAACCATGTGTTAGCTTAGGTTGGGTATGCTGTGCTGACAAATTAACCCCTGAAGCTCACTTGCTTAGCATGACAAAAGTTCATTTCTTATTCACACTCTCTGTCCACCATGAGTCAGCAGTGGGCTCTGCTCTACTGATTCATTCAGGGACAGAGATAAATGGAGATCATACCGCCTGGGACGGGATATCCCCATCGTCCCTCCATAGCTGCTGCAGTGGTAGACACCAACCACAGGGTCATGTGTGACCTTTAAGTCTCCATACCCAATTGGCTGGACTAGTGTCGTGCTCCCTCCTACTGCAAGAGGGCTGAGAAATTAGGGGAGCTCATTCATGGGTGTCCCATGAGTAAACAACATCTCCATCACTGGTGTTCAAGGAATCTTCTCTGACACAGTGAAATCTGACCAGAAATTTAATAAAGGAAAGAGGGAAGGCATATGGATATTTGGAGACAAAATTTACGAATCTGACAAAATATATCCTGCCTGCTATTTGTTTTTAGTGAACAGCTACACCATTTGTTTTTACCATCCCCCACCCCCACCAAAGGACTGGGTTGTTTGATATATATATATATATATATATATATATATATATATATCACACACACACACACACACACACACACATTTTAATGTAGGCTCCATGTCCAGCATGGAGTCCAATGTGAGGCTTGAACTCCACATTTCTTAATTAGATATTCTGATAGGAATAACTAATTATCTCAAAAATCTGCCCCTTCCTCCCTCCGTCACTCCTATCCCTATCACTGCTTGGTTCAAGTAGTAACACCTTTCCTTGATTAATAGTCCTCCATGTAACATCACTGTAATGTTCACTTTTAACATGGATTAACATCACTGCTCATGTAACACCATTGCTTTTACTTTACCCCCTTCAGTAACATGCCCCCATCAGGATAAGAATTTAGAATTCACCCTTAGAATTAAAATAAAATAATTCAAAAGGCTGACGAGCCCATTCCTGATCCATACTAACCCACATCCCCAACTTTCTCACTCAGTGCTTTTCCACATAGACTCTATTGCTTTCTTATTACCTATTTAAAGCTTTAGCCTTGACAGATAACACACAGGGCTCTGAACATGACTTCAGGGACTCCTGGAATAAAGTTAGCAAATAGAGTGGAACAATGGGGAAAAAAAAGAGTTCATTTAAAAAATTAATGTTTACAAAATAGCTCTTTGAAATAAATCCTATAAACATTTAACAAACATTATTATTTCTGACACTTATTGCTAAGTTAGAATACTACATAGAATTGTTTTCATTTCAGGAGGAAATGGAGTGAAGGTATTTTGAATACCAGCAGGCTTGAAGACCATTTATAACCCTTAGGCCTTAAATAGAAGAACTCCCAGGTAACCTGTTCCCACAGGCAGCACAGCCCAGTAGAGTGGGACTAAACCCTAAATTTGTGTTTTCCCTTCTCCCATAACCAGCGCTGTGTATTCAGACAAGTTACTTCATTTTTTGACGCATTAGCTTCTTTGCTGAACTCATCCCAAAACACTTGTAAAGGGTGTTTTAAGTAATCAATAAAAGAAAATCCATTTATTACCAAGCATATGTGCATTGTTTCATACCTGCCTTAAAACCATATAAAGTGTAAAATTTGACAATGTCAGTTTCATCAACCTAAATCCATGTTAAAAGTGAACATTAAAAAAAATCACAACGAAATTTCAAAATACACATTTGCAGCCTCATAAAACCTGAACTTTATAAGCACTTTAAAATATTATCAGAAACACAGCTTTGATAATAATTGTTTGAAAGTTATATTAAAACATAATCTGCTATGCTGTACATGTGCATTTAAATGCAGTAATCCCAAAATTCAATATATAATGAAGGAGACTCCTCCTAAGAATTCTAAATTATTTTTAAGTTATCAACATAATTTTGGTAGTGTAAGTTCACAGAGTTAAGTCCCTACCCAGTCAATGCTGGTATCTATGTCACACCAGGAAGCCTTTACATATATAGATAGGGATACGGATTCCCTGTGAATTGGTCAAGGACCCTGCCAGGTCCTCCAGGAAGTACAGGCAGCCCCAGGGAGGTGCTGATGCAGGAGTGAGAGCTGTCTCTTAGCTCAGGGGCCTTCGAGCAGCAGGGCAGGGCGGGGCAGGGGGATAGGGGTCAGGTGGGGGGGTAGGGTCAGAGACACAGGAAGGGACCTGCCTGACAGGTGCCATGTCATATCAGATCAGGGTTTCTTTTCATGTCATTCAGTGTTTACCAACCCTGCCTCCAGACAAATACATACAAAACAAAGTCTTAGCTTCAGGAAAATGGAGTTTCAGAGTTTTGGTTACAGAGTTTCTGAGCCAAAAAGCCCTCTTTCCTTCCTTTAATTTCTGGTTTTCTGACCTAATGTCCTGAAGATACCGATTTCTTTAAGTGGTCAGCATTTTCAGTGTTCTAGTTCTCCAGCTCCGACTTTCCATCATTTAAATCCTTGGCTATTTATCACCTAGAGAAGAAAAGAAAGGAATATTTGAGGATGCAAAGATTCTTACCACAAATCTTTTACCAAAGCCTCCTTAACTGACTAAACTGTCTCTTGCTGTCTCCAAGATCACCACTTGACTTCTTTCCAGGCCTTCTTTGGAAAAAGGACCCTTTCCTATCCAGTTTCTCCACTCCTCCTCCCCCACACCCTTAGGCCTGCAGTCACAGAGAAGGTTTGAAAATGCAAATCTGATCAAGCCCTGCCCTTACTTAAAGTCTTTCAGAAACTTCCCATTTACTGGCTCTGGGATGAAACCTCATTTATCTAATAGGAGTCTAAGGACTTTGGGGCCTGGATCGAGTTAGCCTGTCCCCTCCTCTCTGGCTCCCACTCCCTTCCCTCATCTCTCAAGGCACATTTAGGACTTACTCATCTTCAAAGTATCAAGCTTTCTTACACCTTTAATGCCTTTTCACTCTTGCCCCTCAGCTTGGAAAACTTCCCGGTTTTAGCTCTCAGCTTGATGCATCGCTAGGAAAAGCCATCAGTGATTATATTTGCACACAAGCACACACACTCTCGCAGGGAAATGAGACTCAATCCAGACTGCACAGATACAAACACTGGCTTGGCCGCTTATGAGCCCTGAGACCTTTGGCACCTAGGTCTCTATGCCTCAGTTTCATCTGTAAATGGGAGTAATGCCACGAGTGTAAAGATTTAATGACTTGAATTATGTTTAATACAGTATATGTGCTATGTAAATGTTGCTATACCTCTTAATAGACGCATTGAGGACGTATATGTGCTTGACCCTTTTCATTTATTCCTTTTTCTTTTTTTCTAGAGTGTGTGTGGGAGCGGTGGGCGGAGGGGCCGAGGGAGGAGGAGGGAATCCTAGGTAGATACCCTGCTAAGCATGGAGCCAAACTCAGGAGCTCAGTCTCCTAACCCTGAGATCTGGATGGACCTGAGCCAAAATCAAGTGTCAGGCACTTCGCCGACTGAGCCACCCAGATGCCCTGATGTCTCGCCCTTTTCTTAGTGGTTTCACATGTCTTGGGTCTTAAGACAGGGTAAAGGGCCTCTACTTTGAGTTCTGGCAGCCCCTCCAAAAAACACTGCCCTAAGTGTTTTGTAACTTCGCTCCTTGAGGGTAGGACACATACCATGTGTATCGTTGTATCCCACAATATCCTGATGACATGGGAGACCTTGGTTCTTGTCTCAAGGAGTCAAAGAATGAATCTCGTGGACACAGGAGAGTGAGTAAAGGGTTAGAAGTTTATTAAGCAAAGTTAGAGGAAGCTCTCAGAAGTGAGAGGAGTCCGGACAGGGTTGCCACTGAAGGCTTGTAGGGTTCATCTTTCACTGAAAGCCTAATTCAGGGAACCTAATCCTTTTTAATATCTCCATTTATATCACCATTGAGTAGGGACTAGTGATAACATCTTTAATGGCTTACTCCCTTTTTATTTTTTTAAAGATTTTATTTATTCATGAGAGACAGAGAGAGAGAGAGAGAGAGAGAGAGAGAGAGAGAGAGAGGGGCAGAGACAGGCAGGGGAAGAAGCAGGCTCCTGCAGGGAGCCCGATGTGGGATCCTGGACCCTGGGATCACAACCTGAGCCACTCCCTTTTTAGAGTCCCATGATTTTGTTGGTTACCTTAGGGCAGGTTGGTCTGGCTTATTCCCTGGTTTCCTTACACTTCAACATTTTTGGGATTTTTGTGAGCCTACTTCTGTGGCCCCCTACCTAGCCCTGCCTAGCCCCATTTTTTCTCCTAACTCATTAACGGTGCCTGGTATTTTGTATGCGTGAATAAATGGATTTGATTTTAACCTGCCACCTCTTAGCAAAGTACTTTGCAAAGTGTTTTGTATGATTTACCTTCTCATCCCCTCTGATGTTTATCCCTCCTCTGCTAAAACTCGCCTTCCCAAGTCTCCAGTGCCTGAGAGTTGCCAAATCCGTATCTTGGCAACATTTAACTCAGCTGACCACTGTCTTCCTAAGACATATTTCTCCTGGCATCCGTGTTGGAGGAGTGTTGATGGGATAAGTTTTGAAGTATTGTGGGTGATGTAGTGGCTCACAGATCATCTGTGGTACACAAGCGTCTGCTGGCTGTTGGAGCCTGAAATGTCTAAAATGGTACAGTGTGGAAATCTAAAGACAACTGGATCAATGTAGACCATGAAACTGCTGTAGGTCCTATGTATCCGCCGGTGGTAACTTTTGCAGAGGCTTGACTGGACAACAGTCCAGGGAAGCCACCAGAACACCACAGCAGCACGTGTACCTACACTTTCAAGCCCAGATTTACTACCACTCTCTCCTTGCCTATTTCCCCACTAACTCCTTTGGTAAGAAACATGTACATTCATAAGCAATTTTAGGTCCCATTCCAGTGGTCTCTCATGGGCCAAGTATCTCGTTAATAATTACTTTACGTGACATGCGAAATTAAGCATGGATTCAAAGTCACATGATTAGCAGGAAAGAGCAGGAGGCAAATTCCCTGCACTAACTTACACCACTGGTCCTCAACCCTAAATGCTTATCAAAATAATGCAAAGGCTTTGGGTTCCACAGTAAAGGTACTGAATTGGATTCTCTAGGAAGGTAGGACTTAGACATGTATAATTTATAAAGGCTCCCATGAAAAATTGGACGACTTGCCCTGATTAAGAACCAGGCATCAGATGAATAGTAGGAACAGACATCCAGAGACTGGAGAAACAGCTCCTCACTAGCAAAGACGTAAGCATGAGATCACAAGTGACCATTCCTTAAGGAAAGTCTTAAAAATTGTCATAGCATGCCAGGAGACTTTGCTTGTTATAAGCCACATGGTAATGAAAAAAATTGGGGGGCACCTGGGTTGCTCAGCAGTTGAGCTTCTACTGGTGGCTCAGGGAGTGATCCTGGAGACCTGGGATCGAGTCCCATATTGGGCTCCCTGCAGGAGCCTGCTTCTCCCTCTGCCTGTGTCTCTGCCTCTCTCTCTGTGCCTCTTGTGAATAAGTAAAATCTTTAAATTAAGAAAAATTCAATTAAAATGCACAGGTTTCTTGATGGATCTTCCATTCTAACGCTGAACGAAGTAATCACAGTACACAAATGAGCTCGCCTCTACTCTCCAAGAGTGAGGCTATTTTTGCTGAAAACTATTTGAAACATGTCCTAACAATTCTGCTTTTCCACAGCAGATAATCAAGACTGAAATAAAGCTCTTTCACAGAACTCTCATACTCATCACGGCGCCTGTATCTTGGGGAGTGTCGGGTAAGAGTCACAAAGAAAGGTTTAGGCTGAAACTCAAAAACATAATTTAGGCTTTTCCAGGAGGAGTTGGAACTAAGTTTATGCTCCTCTGGACGCCTGACTAAAAGCAGATTAAGTCTTAAAGAAAATAACTGGTACAATCATCATGTTGAACAACACATTAAAAACAAAAAAATCACTCAATACATGGAACTGAATTCTGTTCCTAGGCACCTGGAGCAGAACGAATGCAGGACACTGTCGCTCTCTACAGAGAACGCAGAAAGGGCAATACAGCCTCACCCGTGCTGTGAGGGCTCCGGTGCGAGCTTCCGCGGCCGCTAACTCCCATCACTGCCCTCCGCCGCCGCCGACGAGTGGAAGGGCCCCCCGCAGCCCACCGCCCCGCAGGCCCCCGCCAGCCCCCAGGCCCCCCCGCAGCCCACCGCCCCGCAGGCCCCCGCCAGCCCCCAGGGCCCCCCCCCCCGCAGCCCACCGCCCCGCAGGCCCCGCCAGCCCCAGGCCCCCCCCCGCAGCCCACCGCCCCGCAGGCCCCCGCCAGCCCCCAGGCCCCCCCCGCAGCCCACCGCCCCGCAGGCCCCCGCCAGCCCCCAGGCCCGCCCCCCGCAGCCCACCGCCCCGCAGGCCCCCGCCAGCCCCAGGCCCCCGCAGCCCACCGCCCCGCAGGCCCCGCCAGCCCCAGCCCCGCAGCCCACCGCCCCGCAGGCCCCCGCCAGCCCCCAGGCCCCCGCAGCCCACCGCCCCGCAGGCCCCCGCCAGCCCCCAGGCCCCCCCGCAGCCCACCGCCCCGCAGGCCCCCGCCAGCCCCCAGGCCCCCCCCGCAGCCCACCGCCCCGCAGGCCCCCGCCAGCCCCCAGGCCCCCCCCCGCAGCCCACCGCCCCGCAGGCCCCCGCCAGCCCCCAGGCCCCCCCCGCAGCCCACCGCCCCGCAGGCCCCCGCCAGCCCCCAGGCCCCCCCCCCGCAGCCCACCGCCCCGCAGGCCCCGCCAGCCCCCAGGCCCCCCCCCGCAGCCCACCGCCCCGCAGGCCCCCGCCAGCCCCCAGGCCCCCCCGCAGCCCACCGCCCCGCAGGCCCCGCCAGCCCCCAGGCCCCCCCCCCGCAGCCCACCGCCCCGCAGGCCCCGCCAGCCCCCAGGCCCCCGCAGCCCACCGCCCCGCAGGCCCCGCCAGCCCCCAGGCCCCCCCCCCGCAGCCCACCGCCCCGCAGGCCCCCGCCAGCCCCCAGGCCCCCCCCCCGCAGCCCACCGCCCCGCAGGCCCCCGCCAGCCCCCAGGCCCGCCCCCCCGCAGCCCACCGCCCCGCAGGCCCCCGCCAGCCCCCAGGCCCCCCCAGCCCCAGCCCCCGCAGCCCACCGCCCCGCAGGCCCCCGCCAGCCCCCAGGCCCCCCCGCAGCCCACCGCCCCGCAGGCCCCCGCCAGCCCCCAGGCCCCCCCGCAGCCCACCGCCCCGCAGGCCCCCGCCAGCCCCCAGGCCCCCCCCCGCAGCCCACCGCCCCGCAGGCCCCCGCCAGCCCCCAGGCCCCCCCGCAGCCCACCGCCCCGCAGGCCCCCGCCAGCCCCCAGGGCCCCCCCCCGCAGCCCACCGCCCCGCAGGCCCCGCCAGCCCCCAGGCCCCCCCCCCGCAGCCCACCGCCCCGCAGGCCCCCGCCAGCCCCAGGCCCCCCCCGCAGCCCACCGCCCCGCAGGCCCCCGCCAGCCCCCAGGCCCCCCCCCGCAGCCCACCGCCCCGCAGGCCCCCGCCAGCCCCCAGGCCCCCGCAGCCCACCGCCCCGCAGGCCCCGCCAGCCCCCAGGCCCCCCCCCGCAGCCCACCGCCCCGCAGGCCCCCGCCAGCCCCCAGGCCCCCCCCCCGCAGCCCACCGCCCCGCAGGCCCCCGCCAGCCCCCAGGCCCGCCCCCCGCAGCCCACCGCCCCGCAGCCCCCGCCAGCCCCCAGGCCCCCGCAGCCCACCGCCCCGCAGGCCCCCGCCAGCCCCCAGGCCCCGCAGCCCACCGCCCCGCAGGCCCCGCCAGCCCCAGGCCCCGCAGCCCACCGCCCGCAGGCCCCGCCAGCCCCCAGGCCCCGCAGCCCACCGCCCCGCAGGCCCCGCCAGCCCCCAGGCCCCCCCCGCAGCCCACCGCCCCGCAGGCCCCCGCCAGCCCCAGGCCCCCCACTACTCCCAGGCCTCCCACCCCCCTCGCAGGCCCCTCATCACCACCCCCAGCCCCCCACCCGGCCCCAACCCGGCAGCCCACCACCCCGGCAGCCCCACCACCTCCGGCAGCCCCACCACCAGCCCTCCAGGTCCCCCACCCCCGCAGGCCCCCCCACCGCCCCGCAGGTCCACCGCCCCCCCGTACCCCCACCACCTCCAGCCCCACCCCCCGCACCCCCCGCAGCCCCACCCTCCGCACCAAGCAGCTGTGCGGCCCCCCGGCCCCCGCAGGGCCCGCGCACGCGGAGAGGCCCGGGAGCAGCACCCCCTCCCGGCGGCCCCGCGGGCCCACAGGGACCTGCGGGGTCGGCGCCCCGGGGCCCAGGCTCCCGACACACCCGCGAGAGGACCCCCGGGCCGAGGGGAGCCGACCCTCCGCCCGGCGAACCGCCCACGGAGACGCCCGGGGCCAGCGCGGAGCCGGCGGGCCCCACCGCCGCGCCTGCGCACATCTCGCGGGACGCCCGCTCGGCGCCCGGGACCAATAAGAATCCGGGCCCGTGACCCGAGGGGAGCGGGAGCCAATCACAGCGCGCTCCGCGTGTGGGCGGTGCCTGGGCGGCTGCGGGGTCCGGGACGCTCGGGACGCTCGGGACACGCGGCCGCGGGACGTGGGGGTCGGGGTGCGGCGGCCGCGGGGGCTCCTCTCCCGGCGCGGGCTCGGGTGCCCTTGGGTGCCGGGCCTGGGCTGGGGGCCCTCCCTGCGTCTCCGGGGCCGGACTGGCCGCCGCCTCGGCCCCACGCGCGGTCCAGTCTCCTCCTCTTTCCCCTGTTGGCCGAGGCTGACGTTTTTCTAACTTGGGGCGACCCCTGCTTGCTGGGGTACCTCGGAGCGCCCCTCCCCCTCGACCTGCGCGAAACCTGGCCGCGCTACCCAGAGAACCATCAGTGTCTGCAGCCACCTTTTTCCTTAGGTCCGCCCTTGAGCAACAGCGCTGGTTTGCTGAACGAACAGGCAGCGCGCAGGCCGTGAAGACGCGCAGGCGGAGGCTGAGCTCCTGCGCCGGACCCGGGTGGGTGGCCCGACGTGGTCCCCTCGTGCTTCCCGAGTCACGTGCAGCCCGCGGGTGGGAGCATCCTCGGGGCTGGACGACTGCACTTGTGCCTGAAGTTAGTGTCGTTACCAGGTACCAGGCATCTCTAGGCTTTAGGATGTGGGGATCGAAGTCCCTGGTGTCCTGTCCTGGTGCTTAGAACCCAGTGCGGACTCTGCTCAATTTTTAGATACAGACCCGTATTTCATAAGTACTGGTCGTTTTTGTTGAATGAGGTATGTTCTTGAATTAGAATCTTTTCCAGTAGGTAACCATACCATATATATATTTTTTTCTTCTTTTTTTCCTTTAGGTACTCTTCAAGAGAAAGTGAGAACAACATGATTCTGATGACATTGTACAGGAATCTTTTAAATGTAGGTAGTCCTGCCCCATGGGGACATCTGGCTGCTCTGAAAAATCAACCTGTGAGCCATGTTCGCAGAAAACAGCTCTGTCCGTGCTTCTTTTCTCTACACCCAACATCTTTCAGGCTCAAATTTTTCATACCTGCTGTTAAAAGTTCCCGGGCAGAAAATGGAAAGGAGCTCATCGAGTTGGTGTGCTGCTGCTTTTGCAAGTACACTACTGGGGATAGAGCAAACGAGAATAAACACATGGATGAATAGATGTGTTACAGTAGACTTTAAAACAAAAATCACCAGAGACACTGCTGAAAATTCTGCAGTGGAAATCTTTTTACAATTTTTGGAAATGGAAGAAAAAGGGATTCTAGAGAATAACATCTTTAGTGTTTATAACTTCATTTTGAATCCCAAAACCTGTTGAATACTGCTTTGGTAACTGCTTTGTAAGCCTGACTCTGTTGCTTATGGGTCCCTAAAGTAACCTGTCAGTGAACCTCATGGCAGAGTGCCGAGATTGGCTTGAAAGAGTTCATAGATACTCACAGTCTGTATTGGAAAAAGTATGATTGAACTCCCAAAGTCCAGCTATGCAGCCCTGGAATGCAAAGGGAAAAATTGGAGGAATTTATTACAAAGGGTATTGTGTCATTTTATACACTTTTCTGGGCTGAAAAAGTGGATATACAGTCCATTTTTAAAAATTAGATGAGCAACATCTCTCAGTTGATAGTTTCTAACTTAAGGCCGATGTTAGTAAGCCAAGGTGCAATGTGCTGGTGCTTCTTGATCAGACACTACCTCTGATTATAGAAATGGGTAAAGGTGCTATAAAAACACACCTTTTATTTTTTTCTGATGAACACCTAGATAAAATTTCAGGAATGTTCAGATTCTTGGGCACAATAATCATTTTCTTACAAAGTCCTAGAGCAACATGTACTTTGCGAGCAATTCTGTGATACTTAGTAGAAAATGGATTCCCTCAAAGCCCATTTTGGATGTAATGGCAGAAAGTTCTCTCTCCTACTTGGCAACCAAAAACTTTCTCCCAGTCAAGTTTCCCAGTCAAGTTAATCGGTAAACTTAGAAAAACTTATTTGCTACTTGCTTTAAATTACTTGCTACCAAGACCCACACTTTGTTTAGAAAACTATTCCCTCATTCTGATTGTTTTCAGCCAAGAATACTATTGAGATTCCTTAATTCATATTGCTGATAAAATTTCATCTATTTGACTTTATGATAAACATTATTTTCTTCTCAAGGTAAGCTGGTTATAACTTCTAAGATCAGAGAAACATTTGGAAGCTTGATGTTTTAGAGTCTAGGAAGACTTTATATGAGCAGTGTTTTCCCTCTTTTCAATAATGCTCTAAAGAAGAGATCCCGAAGAGGTGGAGTACTTGAATTATAAGAAAATGGTTAAGAATGCTAAACCCTGGGATCCCTGGGTGGCGCAGCGGTTTGGCGCCTGCCTTTGGCCCAGGGCGCGATCCTGGAGACTCGGGATCGAATCCCACGTCGGGTTCCCGGTGCATGGAGCCTGCTTCTCCCTCTGCCTGTGTCTCTGCCTCTCTCTCTCTCTCTCTCTCTCTCTCTCTCTCTGTGACTATCATAAAAAAAAAAAAAAAAAAAAGAATGCTAAACCCTTTCATGGAAAGGGAAGCTGGCAGTTTCTGGAAGCGCAGGCTCTTTACTGACCTGGGGGAACAGTTGCAGTATTCTGTTAGGGGTGATGGTGATGTGGTGATGAT